TGTCTTTCTATATTAAGAATCTTTTGTATTGTGGTTGTGTGCTTCTTTTCAGTTCCATACCCTTCCAATGCTTAATTAATTTGAAGGAAATTAATATGAGTTAAATAAGCAGTATTTATTCCATGTATGCTATTAAAAGGGAATTTTAGATCCATAATTAGGAATTAAATATTGAAATTTTTTTTTTCTAGAAAGCCTCTTTCTTACTTTCTTTTTTTGGGTAAAAAAGAGCATTTTCAGATTTCTCATGTGATTTCTGAAATATTTATCCTTAACCACTTCAAGTCCAGACACTTTCACCCCCTTCCAGTTCAGTCTAATTTTCAGCTTTCAGTACTGTCACACTTAGAATGACTATTGCATGGTTATACAACATTATACCCAAATTACATTTTTATCATTTTTTTCACACAAATAGAGATTTCTTTTGGTGGTACTTGATCACCACTGAGTTTTTTATTTTTTGCTATATAAAAATGAAATTAAAATTTTGAAAAATAAACATTTTTTCTTAGTTTTTGTTATAAAATGTTGCACAAATATTCTTTCTTCATACATTTAGGCCAAAATGTATTCTGCTACATTTTTTGGATATAAATAACCCAAAACAGTGTATATTACTTGATCAGTGTGAAAGTTATAGAGTCTACAAACTATGGGATATATATCTGAAAATTGATCAGTTGAGACCCTAAAATTTTGGATGCTGGTATGACATATGGCAGTGATCAGAATGTTGGTATGAGGTATGGCGGTGATCAGGACATTGACATGAAGTATGGCGGTGAGCAGGATACTGGTATGGGGTGTAGCATTGATCAGGACACTGGTATGGGGTATGGTGGTGATCTGGACACTGGTATGACACAATGAGGGATCAGAATTTAGGGTATGGCGGTGTTTAGGATGCTGGTATGGCATATGGAGTGATCATAACACTGGTATGGCATATGGCAGTAATCAGGGCACTGGTATGGCATATGGCGGTGATCAGGACGCTGGTATGGCTTTTAATGGTGATCATGGTGTTAGTATAGGGTGTGGCAGTGATCAGGATGCTGGTATGGCGGTGAGCGAGACATTGGTATGGTGTATGGCACTGTTTTTGTGAGCACTGGAACAGGTGACAGGTGCTGGCTGCATTATTTATTATGATTGTACGGGGTAAGTGGGTAAGCAATCAGGAACACTGGGGCTGGCTGGTACTGCAGTCTGTGAGTATACTAGCAGCCCAACAAGCTGATGTACACTTATAGGCAGCATCTTCCCTTCACTCAGAGTGAAAGCAAAGAGAACCAAACTGTACTTTCACTTGGTATTCTTTACTACGTGATTGCTGTGATTGGATACCGCAATCACATGGTAAAATACCATGTGACCACCCAGACACAGCAGTAATGTGATATCTGCTGTGTCCAGGTAAGCCATGTGTCCTGCTTCGAGCTGCGCAGGAGCCATTGATGCGGGCTGATGTACATTATGTTAGCCCGCATCGGTGCTGCTTCTCATCTGCTGTCTATAGGCAATGGGCAGATGGGAAGCAGTTAAGCAGGCCATAGACTATGCAAAAAATTTATGAAAATCTCTTGATTTTTGCATCATTAGTGTGTCAGAAGTGACACGCAATTTTTATGCTGCAATCAAAAATGCCTGATCTAACATGATGGATTTATATTAGAAAAACGAAACAATGGATGGAACAATTGTATTTTGGTTTTTGGATGTCGACTCGTCTCTGACATGCCTTAGCAAACACCATATCTCAGTATTTGGATTTGGTCTGTAGAAGAAATGTAAATTGATACAATTGATGTAAAACATAAGCATTCAACTGTTGTTTATACAAGGGTTTTAGAAGACCCTCTGAAATCATAGATCCACTTTCAAAGCACATCAAACCCTAACTGGGTGACATTTAGCTTGCTAAAGAACTGGACCATAAACAAATGCAGAGTTTTTGTTTATCATAAGATACTATTTTTACATTTTTTTTTATACTTTTTTTTGCACCTCTATACTGCTGACCTCTTCCAGCCAGTTCATGTCTACATTCATTCACTCTAGTGTCAGCTGCACCTCATCATAGTAAATCCGTATGTTCCTATAGAGATACTTATATTGGGCCAAAAAGAGGGAAAGATGGATTTGGTTCCAAAAGAGGGATAGTCTCTTCAAACAAGGGAAAGTTGGGAGGTGTGCCTCATTGTTCTGGATTGGCTGCTGGATAGAGACAGTAGTGGACCTTGTCTGCACAGTAGATCTCAGCATGGCCACTTATAGTCTCCACCAGAGGGGACAGCACAGGCTTGCATTTGAAGTAGAGTTGCACCGAAATGAAAATTCTGGTGCCAAAACTGATACTGAAAATTCAGAATGCACATGGCCGAAAACCAAAATGTCTGCGTATGTGGGGGTGGGGAGGCTCAATTTTTTTTTTTTTTTGACATTTCTTTTTAACTTTAATGTGTATTTGTATTTTTTTTTTAACTTATGATTTTATTGCTATCACATAGGTGACCAATAGTCCCCTATGTGATAGCATATGAGTGACGGGTCCTCTTTGTAGGGGGGAGGGGCGGCAGTGTGTGCAAGGAGAGGGCAGGAGAGGAGCACTGGGTATTGTCACTAGGTGACCCCGCCCCTTAGTTTCCCTTAGCGGTGGAGAGAATGACCGCTGCTTCTCAGAGCTATAGTGAAGAAAAGAAAAAAGTCAGTAATTGTATTTAAAAACAATGCCGGTTTTTAAATGTAATTGCTGGCATTTTTTCCCCTTCACTATAGCTCTGAGAATGAGCTGTCATTCTCACTGCCGTTAAGGGAAACCAAGGGACAAGGTCACCCAGTGACAATACCCAGTGACCCCGCCCCTTAGTTTCCTTTAGCGGAGAAGAGAATGACAGCTCATTCTTGGAGCTATAGTGAGCCCTGGTTCAGACTGATGCAGTGCGGAATTCGCAGCGTTTTCTGTGCGAATTCCGCACCACATCAGAATCGCACCCCGTTCATGCGAACCGCTATGGGTGTGTAAGTTATGCTAACAACACTCCAAAACGCGGTGCAATGTGCAGAATCGGATTGCATAGGTGTGAATACCCATGTGATCCGATTCTAGTGCTGACCGAAAAAAGGGTCCTGCACGTTTTTGTTGCAGGTGTGGTGCGATTAGAGCCATTCAAAATGTATGGCTCCAATCGCACCACACACAAATTACATGTGATTTGCACAGGAATGCAGTGTGGTTCCTGTGTGAATTACATGCGATGTACTGCACCGCATATATGTGAACCCAGGCTCAAGGGGAAAAAAAGCCGGTAAAAAAAAGCCGGTAAATACATTTAAAAACCGGCATTAACATTTAGCAGTATCCCATTATATACACTGCTCCTCTCCTGGCATTATCCGCCCCCCCACATATGCAGTACAGAAAGCCTCCTATCAGTACCTGTATCGGCTACATTTTTCCTAACGGCAAAATGCTGATAGGGCTATTTTTGGCCAATATGTTTCTGCCGCATTAGGGTGCATCCCTAATTTGAAGGACAGTTCTTATCTTAAACAGGAAGCTCCTGAACAAGAACAAGGGTTACAAGGTATTCTTTTAAAGAAAACTGCATATTTCAAAGCTTTAAAACAACTTTGGAAATTACATTTTGTCATTGAAGTGCCACTTCCTATGATGGTTTGGAAACTATTGGTGAACTATTGCTGAAGTTCAGGAACACAACCATTTTGCAGTTTGGCAAACAGCTGAACAAACTGTCATGTCTGGTCCATACAAATATGATTATGATCTGTCATTTTGCGCCGTTTTGCCCTTTAAGCTGCATTTAAAGACCCCCTCCCCTCTATATGGACATTTTACAAGTTTTATTGCACTGGTATGTAGGGGACCTGGAATGGGCAGCTGTTGGTGCTAGCCATGTTGTTTCAGTTCCTGTCCCATTTCCTCTTGAATACTACACTCACATACCTGTTGTTTGAGGAACCACTCTGCCATCTTTTGCACATTTTTCATAGCCATAGGCCCACTCACTACATCCGTGGCCAGAAGCCAAAACTTGGATTAAAGGAATGTCCACTCCTAAATGCATTTTTCAGCACTTTACTGCAATTAATACGTTTTTAAATAATACATCACACTGGACATACTAGCAGAATCTTTACTGTTAAACACCACAGGTGAAAACATACATCCTGAAGTAGTCTTTATCAGTGTAGGAAACAAATACATATTTGCAGCCATCTACCCTTTCTCTTCCCAGAAAAAAAAACAAGTTGGAACAGCTCCTCACTAGAATGCCCAGTCCTAGGCCCCAAGGCCATTTTACACCAAGCCACAAACCCACAGCTGAGGATCAGGGGTGGGAAAGTCCGTCCACTGGCATCCTTGTTCCTGGCCTGAAGCCGCTCACACACATATTCCTGATCTGAGGCATGTTGCTCAAAATATCACAAATGTCCAGACAAGTTGCATTTTCACTGCTTCACTGCACAAACATCTTTCCAGCACAATTGTTCACACTGCAGCACATTAACAGTTCAGACACACAGATAACAGTTCACGGTGCAGAACACTCTCCTCTTTCTCATAACTTGCTATGTAGTGGTCACACAAGTGCAGAATACTTAAAGATCTCCAAAACCAGTAAAGGCATCTTCCCCAGATGTTACACAGCACATGGGGTATAGGAGTAGAACACCCCAGATCAAGTAAGATGCAGTGCTGTGCTGGAGTTGAGCTAAAGAGCCCTCTGCAAAGGCTGCAACATTTTATTGCTAAAGTGACTGTAACCTCCCGAAGATGGCTTCACTGATATTTCTTATGTAGTGGGGCCATTTCTGTTTCCCTTTTAACTACCTGCCGACCGCAGATAGCCGAATGACGGCTTCACTGCGGCCGGCCAGTTCTGAGTGGACGTCAGAACGCGCTCAGAACGCGCACCCGGCGATCTCCGTGCTGGGCCCTGATGATTGGTAAAAGGCCAATCCCAGCAGATCAGCCCACCCGCAAGTTTCCGCCACTTTCCTCACGTGCCCAGAACCGGCAGTGCGCCCACATAGTTGATCAGCCCACCGGTGTGCAGTGCCCCGCAGCAGATCACCCACAGTGCTGTTCCGCCCAGCAGTGCAGCCCCACCTGTTCCCAGCAGTGCACCCACCTGTGCCACTCTGCAGTGCCACCTACCTGTGCCCAGAAGTGCCACCTACATGTGCCCAGCAGTGCCACCCACCTGTGCCCACCAGTGCCACCCACCTGTGCCACCTGTGCCCACCCACCAGTGCTGCCCACCAGTGCTACCCACCAGTGCAGTCCAGCAGTGCTGCCAGTCAGTGCCACCAGTCAGTGCCCAGGGGTTGTGCCAATCAGTGCCACCAGTCAGTGCCCAGCAGTGATGCCATTCAGTGCCGTCTATCAGTACCCATCATCAGTGTCACCTATCAGTGCCGCCTATCAGTGCTGCATATTAGTGCCGCCTATCCGTGACACCTCATTAGTGCTGTCTATCAGTGCCGCCTATCCGTGCCACCTCATTAGTGCTGCCTATCAGTGCCCTTTAGTGCTGCCTATCAGTGCCCATCAGTGCTGCCTATCAGTGCCCATCAGTGCTGCCTCATCAACGCACATCAGTGAAGGAGAAAAAATGCCTGTTTGAAAAATTTTATAATAGAAACAAAGAAACTTTTTTTTTTTTTTTCAAATTTTTTGCACTTTTTTATTTATAGCGCAAAAAGTAAAGTGCCCAGTGGCGATTAAATACCACCAAAAGAAAGCTCTATTTGTGAGAAAAAAATGATCAAAATTTCATATGGGTACAATGTTGCATGACCGCGCAATTGTCAATCAAAGTGCAGCAGCGCTGAAAGCTGAAAATTGGCCTGGTAAATAAGGGGGTATAAGTGCCTGGTAGGCAAGTGGTTAAAGAACTGTTTCCCTTTTAAGACTGAATGTTGTCAGAAAGGGTTTGATTGGCTCAGCTCTCAGCAGTACTGGAGTGTTTGTGGGCGTTGCAGTTTACTCACAGAGGCAGACAATGTAACTTTATACTGCACAGAACTACAGAACCAGGATGCTTTGCAAGGAGGAGGGAGAGGAGAGCCACGTGTGCCTTTGCAGGGGACATGTGGGAGCTAGTCTGCAGCTCCTACTGTTGAAGTACACTGACACTGTTTCCATAACAGCAGAGGTTGCTAAGGACAATGGTTATCTACAGCAGCTGAAGTCAGCAACAGCATCCAGTCACCCGCAATGGCAGTTACCAACAGCAACAACATCTCCCACCGCAGAGAGAGGTCAGAGTGTTGGAAATCACAGAGGAGGTATGTGACCATCCCAGGTCAGGCACCTCAGAGATCGTGCAGCTCCGACAATTGACAACAGGAAAAAACTAGCCAGAGAGACAGAGCCCCATTCATCATCCCTTCAAGGAGTTAACCCCTGAAAACTGTTCTTCTTGGATGTGGTGAGCAACTGCTAACCAGTGACATGTCAGTCCTTAAGAGCGCTCCACCGATTCACTAACACAGGCCTGTGCAACACATAGACTCACACAGTGTTACACACTGTGCAACACATAGACTCACACACAATCCTACAGTATACAAGTGAATTTGGGACTGAGCCTAAAGAGATGTCAGTTTAGCTGGGGACATATTGCTGCTATAGTTGCAGGGGGTTAATTCTGATCTATAGCTATACCGGTATATATGTATATACATGAATATTGTGTTTATTGATGTTATTGTGCCAATTCTAGAAGGTTTGTGTATTCAGTGCATTTAACTGCTATTTTCCAAGTTAATTTGCAGTCTATTTGCAGTTTTACCTGTCTTATTAAACCTGTTATAAAACTTCCCACAAGGTGTACTGGTGTGCTGTGGATCCAATATATATATGGTTCATCACTGAAGTAAGGACAGAAGTGCCCGTTAATTCCAGCGGCTCCTTCGGGGGGAGAGCGCTATACATATAACAGACCTAAGGCTAGGCATAAGTGTGTGAGCTCCTTCGGGCCGTAGGAAGATCATGCAATATGGCAGAGTTTCTCTAAAATAACAGGGGGTGAGATTCTTATGCAAGATGAAGCAAGGAGGGTCTAGGGTCCACAAGGTGGCAATAGCCAACCAATGCAGACCCACTTTCCCTTTACATGTTCCCATGGCAGTGTTTTAGCTACTAATGACCTTTTTCAACAAAAGCGTACAAATTATCCTTGAAAAAAACTTAATTAGGGTTGAGCACTAGGTAAAAGAGGACAGGTGCAGTTGGACAGCCTTGTTATACTTTTCCAAAATTAAAATCAGTTGAGGTTAATAATGTAAGCTTTAATTTATCTCTCGTAATCTATTTCCTTTAAAATCGTAACCTAGTCATGAAAGTAGCTAGTTATACACAAGTCTATGTACACAGATGTTTTTCTCATGCTAGAAATCTGTCTATAAACTGAAAAATAGTACATATTGTGCATGTTTGTACTGCATTATTTAACAAATGCGGGGATAGAGCAAAACAGCTTCATCAACATGAGCAGTCCACCATATGGATGGGACCAAAAAACACCCTGCCTGATGCTGTTAGGGAAGCTAAAAATAAATGGCCTTTTATTGTAGTATGACTTGCCCCCTGCTTTAAACAATACTCTGTATCTTAAAGTTTAAACTCCCCTGAATGGTCAGTGTTCAGGAACTGGCTACTTGCCACCATTGTCCCCATTGTTATTACAGCATCATATAGGACTTTCACAGGGGTGATTATTTTAATCATTGCACTTTTCTGACACTTTTAGTTATTCTATTTTTACCAATAACATTGCACATTGCATTTCTATAATGTATTGTTTTTGCAAGCAAGTCATTCATTGTACATAGGGCACTTTTCAGAGTTTGTGATGTTTTTACTCACACTTGTGTCTACTTTTTTGAGAGAATGAGTGAAAATGACACATTTGCAGACTTGAGAAAATTCATATGTGAAATTAGTAGTTCATGGTGAGCATGGTGTTGCCAAACAATATATCTTTTCCCTAAGTCATGCTGCCTGTGAATCCAGAGAAAATTACTGGTGTTGGTGTAGGAAAATTGGCTTTACAACAATGTGACAACCTAAACGGGAACCTATAGTGGTTACACCTTGGCATTCAATACACCTAGAGAGGGAAGCAGAGCCGGTGCATGTGTAAGCTATAATGACATCATACATTGCAACCTTGGTCATCAGCAGGGAGGTATTGACTGGGGAATGTGTGCATATGTCTAAAACAGTAGTTCTGTAGAAAGTATAGAATGATCTCCCCATTCGAAGCTCATAACTTTGGTGCTTCCATGTTGTTTTTTTGACAAAAATGCATAATATCTCCCTGCCTTAGACCTTAAATATTGCAGCAGTTAACTCCTTTTAATCTATACTTACCTTTTCTTTGCCAAAAGACAATGTACGCTAGGGTCTGCAATGAAAGCACCTGCTTCCATACAACGTTCTGCAAAGATGCCAGCAAGAAAACTTGCAGCTGCAGTATTTCATCAACCTGCTTAGAATAGACTTTACATTTTATATATCTACTTTTTCTTTATTTGATACTTTACTATGTACGGTATATCATTTTTATCTAATTCAGTTGAGGCAGTTGATGTTCATGTGACAACTTGTTTTGATGGGATGTTCTAAAACATGTGGTATATACTCATATACATGCATGTAAAACCAGAAAATCGTCATGAGATGGGACTTTTGAGGGAAAACATATTACAAAAATACTCATTTTTATTACAAGTTAAACATATACAAAAGTTTTGTTTTCAGACACAAATACTATAATAACAATACAATACGCTATATCAGTATTGATTTGATATAGTGATGCAGAATTCCAAAGCTACTGATTTTCTATGACCTGACATGATTTCTGGACTTTGGCTACTTCTTCAGGAGCCATCAGTATGCTTATACATAGAACGTCTAGATAGAAACAATCATAATTATTAAAAACAATTATTCTATTATTTCTCTCATCCTGTTATAAACCTTCGATTGAGAGGTATTCCCTGAGCACATGCAGGAGTGAGAAAAAGTATAGGGCAGGGGGTCTAGCGGGCATCCCACAGCGCACCATCCCACCCCCACCTCTCCTTTTTATACAAGGTTCCACCAGAACATTAATTGCCTTTTAAACAAACAATTTACCAAACAATACTTCCATATAAAAAGATAAAACAGCCATATGAGTGTATTAAGATGTTGTCCGTTAATTGGGACTAGTAAAGGGAACGGGGGGGAGAGGACATAATTTTTCATAGTTATGACTATGTTTTATGTTTACTCTTGTTGGCCTTTTGAAGGGGGAGGGGTGTTGCCCCACAAACCATGTTGGCTGTTTATTGATGACTTTTTTTTTACCAATAATAAAATTTATTGGACTCATTCATCCAGCTTTGGGACTGCTACTCCTTTCTGCTCTATTGTTTTGGACTAGAGAAGAAGAACTCAAAAATATCCTGTTAAAGGGTAGTGACATCCTGCATTGGGAAGTGCCTTTCCTCTAGTCCCAGTGAGTCCCAGCACCAGCTTAGAGTAGAGCAGTTGTGTGTGGGACTTATGCACATAGCACTAGGCCATCAATGTTATAGGATCTGAATGGGTTTGCTGAAGAGTTGTTCTACAGTGCCACTGTTAGCCATATGCACCCAATTACCATATTACATACACCGGGACTTCTAACTGTGGCTTTTCTACATTTATTAAAAAAAAGCAAGAGCAGTATGGGTATGCAATGAAAAAAACATTAAATATAAGAGAAATTTGAGAACAAAAACCACTAGATGCTTGGGAACTATGAGCATAAAACTTTAATAGATGTTAGGGGACTACGCATTAAAATTGTTAGAACATTTGGCAAGCATTCTATATTCCAGTGGGACTGAGGAGTCCTTTTTGCCATTAATGGGGGCATAACAGGAAACCACTAAACTGTGTCTCAGGGTCAAGACTAGCAAAATAAAAGAAAATTGTTACATGACTCTTTTGCAACAAAGCCAAGTGATCTTGCTAATCATTTTTTATGTCTTATTTAATTCGTTCATTGTACACTATATTTAAGGTGAATTATGCTGTGCTAGTAATATTACTATTTTGCATTTTATTGTGAGTAATAAAGTACAGCCAAAGGCTCATGCACCACAGTCTAAGCAAGTACCAGATCCAGTTTGCATGTGATGCACAAGCCTGATAAAGTGAACAAAAACCATTCCTGACTGAGACAAAATTGTCCTTATTTGTGTTCACATGCTTTCCTTCCATGACACTACAGCCTACAGTGGAAGGTAGTGATGGTCTGAACACCCCCCTGTTCGGTTTGCGGTAGAACATTCAAACCTAAAGAAAGTTCTATCGCAAACATCAAA